TGGGAGGGCAGAAACACAAGCCTGCAGAGAAAGTCTGTATCCTGTTAGAGGGAACCACGGGGGTGGTCAGTGTGAGCAGGTTTCTCCAGCGGAGAGTTTGTTTTTACTCAACAGGAAGCTCAGTAACCACACCACACCAATGCTGCTGAATAGGATTTTATTTAGCGGGTCGCAGTGTGCAGGGAAACACTGTTTATGGAGTTTTATCTGCAGCTGGTTTGTGTGCAGCAGCATATGGAGGCATTATGGGTCGTTCCAGAAATGCATTGGGCATTACTGTACATATTCCAGCTTACGAGAGTTGGCCCACAAGTGTAAATGTGTTGGATGGCGTCCCTCACTTGAAGTTTGGACCATGTCAAAATATTTCCTAGACAACTGTCTTCTCTGATTAGTTGCTGAGTCGTTGCATGTGTCTCAAACCCATCAGGGATGCATGATAGCAGAAACATGTAAGAGTTAGTGTTCCATATTTTTATAGCACCATTTAGAACCCCCTAAGGGGCTTTACACCACAGCAGTCATTCACCCGGAGTGGAGTTGAAGAGGCAGTCCTGACTGAGTCTGGCCTTCACTGGGAATGAACAGCCTGGTCCTCATCCAGAGCTCCTGCTCTGCATCTCTGAGCTCCAGAGTTTGTATGGTCCAGGCTTTGTAATCACATTACTGTTGCACTCACAAATAGAGTTGTGTTAATGTTTAAATCCCAAGAGTTTTGTGCAATGACACTGGGAATTCCTGGATAATGTTGACCCAAAGTGTGCTCTGACCTCATGAAAGAGACTTTCTCATGATTGTTAAAAGTCACAGCCCACTGTGATACCATCCACTAGTACTCTGCCTGAACTCCGCGATCCAAACTCCAGAATGGTTCCAGCAAGTCTTTTCCATTTTCCTGTTTCACCTTTTCCTTGTGTTAACACTCCAACTGAACGAGATAGACAGAAACATGACTGCTAACTTGTGAAATATCCCCAGTGCTCAGTAGATGAGTAATGAGGTGAAACTGCAGAAGGCTATGTAAATAAGGTGTAGATGTAATTATATTTACACAACAGCTGGAGAGGACTTCTTATTATATGGCTTTTATCATATGAAGGAACTGGCAGGACTCCGTTTTTAGCTGTAGAGGGAAAAAGAGCGGCCCCCCTCTGCTTGGATCAGAGGCTCTGGAAGACAGGCCAGAAAACGTGGATGGTGAAGTGAGACAGGCAGGTGTTAAATGGAGACAGAGTGAGGGAGAGTGTGATTTCCCCCAGCGCCTGTTTCAATAGTGTCTCCTGTCGCTCATCTGACCAATTCGTAATGCCGAGCCACGGGGAAATCTGATCGGGCTCATTACCCTCTGCTCAGAGCCGATGCAGGAGGCTCCTCCTCAGCAGCTCATTGTGAATGGACGCCATCACCGGCGGAGTCACTATCAGGAGAGTATGGCCATCTGCCAAGGCTCCCCTCTCTCACCCCTCCGCCCCTGCCTTTGTGCAGCAGAAACCAACGAGGATCCTCTCCTCTCACGGCGTCCTGGCTACAGTGGGGGTGAGCGGAGGCTATCGGCACTGATTGACTCCATCATTCAGGCCCGCTGCTGAACGAGGAGGTATTGGTGACAGATAGCGTGAAGGGCATTCAGAGTACCAGTGGTCACATCAGCAGAAGTGATAGGCGGCGTGTTTGATGAACTTTATCGCTGGTGGGACATTTTCCCTTTGGCTTTGAAGTCAAGCTACCACAGAAGCACCTTGTTCACCCTCATCATGTAAGGCCACATGATGGCTCTCAGCTGAAGCACTTTGTCACTGATGAACATTAGGAAGGATGCAAGGGCAACAGCAAACGGTCTGAGCGGATTAAAACTCTCAGAGGAGAATCATTCAGATCAAACAGTTTCTAATTTGAACCTTTGCTGGGCAGCAACAGGAATGTTCTATGATGGCCATAACCCACCTGTGATGCAGCACAGAGCTCCTTCAGATCGACGTGAGTCTGTCCAGCGTTTCACAAACCTCTCGAGTCACAGTCAGAGGTGGCATCTCAAGGATGATCTCTCATCCACACAGCTGCACAACAGCACAGGTTTTGAGAACGCCGTGATATTTTCCATTCAGTAGCCACTTCCTGCATGAAGTGGACTGTCCTTTATTGAAAGCAGGAAAGAAAGAAATGATGCAGACCTGACGGGAGGAGGCCAAACCTTCATTCTAACGGTGAATGTGATGAAATGAAACTCTTAGAGTAGAGAACGGAGAAGAGTCTGCAGCAGTGATGCCTTTTGTCATCCAACAGTTATAAACCAAGGCTATGTCGTGTTGAGAGAGCACCATCTCAGTGGCTGTCAGGAACAACGCATCTAAGTATTACTCAGTATCTGTCAAAGTAACTGTTGTAGTTGGTTTGCTGTTTTTATGCTTGTGAACATCCAGTGATTCGGTTAAAAAGTAAAGTTTTGTTGATTTAGTGTACAGCTCAGACATTAGCTAACACATCCAGCAGACCCCTACAGCCCCTCATTTTCATGTCTCTGTAGTTTTTTTAATTGTTTTTGGTGTTTTGTGTACAGACGAGCCTCTGGGGGCTTTAAAAACAATACAGACTGATTTGAAAATGGTCTGTGTATTGCCAAGGGGACCATTTAGGGCCAAATTGCTGCTTGTGTTGGGCTTTAGTCCATAATTAGGTCAGAATGCAAGTGCTCGTATTGTGATGCTGGCCCACAAGGACTTTCACAGCTCCAGTGTTTAGAGTGCGACCATGTGTGTCAGAGAGACTCGTTGAGCCCCTCTAGTGCTGTTGCACCCCCAGCAGAGCAGGCCTCTTTCACAACCCTGTGCTCTTGTCAAAATGTGTTTGTTGCAGCGTAATGTGGGGCTAGGTCTATGCAGCTCTGCTGAATGCCTGCTATCTGCTTGGAAAGCTTCCTGACATAAAAACTCTCTTTTTCAATTTTAGCTTTTTCCTACTTGTTCTCCAGATCCATCACCGTTTCCTACCCCTTACCTTTGTCTTTTATTGATCATTAGCTGGCGTTGGGAGGAGAGAGGAGGTTTAATTAAGGAGCCAGACTGGTCTGTCAATTTTACTCAGCTCTGCGTGGAGAGCACCAGACCCAGCGATGGCCCTAATAGGCCTTCACACTGTAAACAGCACGCACACCTGGACAGCACCAGGCCTTGGGGAGAAACCAGGGGGAGCAGGTGTCCAGCAGTTAGATCTGATGAAGAGAGGGAGTTTCACTTATTCTTTCAGCAAAGATTTCTGCTACTCTCATCTGGTAAAACAAAGAAATACCATAATAGGTAGTTTAACTGGTGGTTCTGGACTGGGTCAGTTTCACACCAGTCATAAATACGTTATCACTAAGGCTAATAATACAGTGCTCAGCATAAATGAGTACACCCCACTACATTTGTCCCGATTGCTAACAGGATTTGTTCATTTTCACATAAAACGTGATTTTCCCAACAAATCAATTCAAGCTCATGTTGCAAAAATGAGTACACCCCAGTTATAGCCTTAGGAGAAAAGCCACAAAATTCAAATGAACAGTTATTCAACCACATGTGAGTTGTTTGTTTAAAGGGTGTCCAGCAGACAGGTGACCATAAAAGGGCATTACTTAAAGAGTAACTAAACCCCAATACAACTTTTTTTTTGCTTATAAAACAGATAATTGGGTCTTTACAAGTGCAATCTTTCTGTTTCTGAGCATTTTTTGACATATTTGTGTAAACTTGATTAAATCTAGAATCTAGGTCTAAAAACATCTCAGTGCTGCCCCCTGTGGCAGAACAGCAGCTACTGCATTTTAAACTTGTGATTGACTGTGACTGGTACAATTTCACGTCATCGGTACAGTCTCCTCCCACTCCCCCTCCCTCCCAGGATGGAAATTCCCCACACTTGGCCATGCCACTCTGCGCCTCCTGGCAACGCCCACTTTCATGGCATTTTTCAAATCTCGACTAGGGGTGGAGTTACATTTTCTGATAGTGTGCAGTCCCTCTTTAACAAAGAAAAGCCCTTCCTGTTTCATGCTGTCAGTAATGGCTCCATGTGGAAGAGAAATGTCACAAAATCTGAGAATGGAAATCATTTCTTTACACCGAAATGTGAGGCTACAAAAAAAAGATCATCAAAGCTTTATATATCAGTCAAATATTGTAGCAACAGTGATCCAAACAGTTAAGAAAGACAGAAGTGCAACCATCTTACAGAGATGCCCAGGCCATCCACAGACATTAACATCTCGACAGCAGTGTCTTCTGATGAGAAGAGTTGAAGAAAATCACCATGCAAGTTCACTGCAGTTAGCTAAAGCTGTAGAAAGCCAAATGAGAGTGACCGTTTCTCGTGACACCGTACGGCACACACTGCAGAGGAACGGCATGCATGGGTATCATCCATGAAGGAAGCCTCTCCTAAAGCCCACGCACTGAAATCAACGCATAGGTGGATGGGTGGGTGAATTGGGTGTATGTTGTTCTGAAAATAAACAGCTGACGGTTTGTGGATAGAGGTGTTTGTACAAAATCCAACCATATAAGTCACACACACACACACACACACACACACACACACACACACACACACACACACACACTCTCAGTGTAAGTGTGAAGGCAAACTAAAACAATAACTAATTATCCTGCCTTCATTAGGAGGCTCTACTTGCTCCTCGGCTGTCATTCTCAGCCAAGGAGCAAGTAGCCTATGATCTTTAGAATCATAAGCATGCTTACATGTGCGTGTGTGTGTGTGTGTGTGTGTGTGTGTGTGTGTGTGTGTGTGTGTGTGTGTGTGTGTGTGTGTGTGTGTGTGTGTGTGTGTGTGTGTGTGTGTGTGTGTGTGTGACAGAGGCAGCTTCGTGTGCACGCTGCTCCTAATGTTTGCATCATCTCGGTCCGTGTCGTGGCGGCGATGATCCCAGCTATAATCGATAAAAACATCACAACACCACCACGGCTGCCCTCGTGTTGACTCTGCGTGTCTCTTGTCTCCTCCAGAGAAAGTCAGCATGCTGTCCGCATTGATCGCTCCCTTCAAGTACATAAGCCCTGGGACCAGCACGGAGGACGAGGACAGTTTAAGTAAGTCTCCTTTCTTCCTGTCAGCACGCTGGCTGACGCTCTCACTGGCAGCGCTCTGAAACTCCCATCACCTGCATAATTAATTATTTATAAATGAGCTCTTTGATTACAAATCATCGTGTGGGCTAAAAGATGCGGTCTATTAAAAGTGAGCTAATAAATATTTCATTTCTGTGTTCACTATGAATAAATCATCTAATCTGATGCACGTCTGCTTAGACGGTTATTTAGAGCAACAGTTTGCTCATCAGTAAATGACTTCCATCTCCCCATTATGATTCTTGTAGAGATCTGAACTGTTTTGTTTATTCATTTCCCATCAGAAATGTGAACGCCACCACTTGCCCATTTAAAGGCTTGTAGAGCGTGTCACAGCTGCTCAGCATTTGCTTTTGCTGAGGAAAGAAGTGTGAAATAAAGCCAGCTACAAACCTTTTCTCATCCTTTCTTGGAAAGTCTTCCACTGGAAGCACTTCCCAGCCCCCACCACCCCCGTTACAAATAGGATTGATGTTCAGCAGTAGCTACGGGGGCCAATGTTTCCTGCTCACGACTCAGCTTCAGAACCAATTTGGAGTCAGATTACAGGATGATTTGGCAGATAGCATCACCATTTTAGAGGATTTGTGTTTGAGTTTTAAAATACTTTAATGTAATCGAGCCCTGTGGAATGAAGTGGGCCCGGCTCTGAAAGTTGATTGTAGATGTGTTCATTACTATTTTATTGTGTATCAAGTGGCTCAATCTGCCTCCGGAGATTTTCCTGACTCATTTTGTTCTGCCTGGATTAATGGCTGTTGCATAATAACCAGATTTCTGCTCATGTTTTGTTTTTTTCATCCCTTCCATTAAGATGTTTTGGTTTTCTGTTCCTTTGTCGACAGGCACCAGCAGTGCCGAGGTTAAAGAAAACCGTAACATTGGTAACTTGGAGGGCCGCTCTTTGTCTTCTGGTGAGTGCGAGGCTCTTTTCGGCTCTGACTCGACCAGAAGTGGAAGTTCTGGTCTGAAGAGGAAACGGCCCTTAGAGGAGGATAAAAACGGGCATCTGTGTCAGCTTCGTCTCATTTGTAAGAAACTTTCCTGGTCGGAGACCCCAAAGAACGCACTGGTGCAGCTGAATGAGCTTCGTCCGGGTCTGCAGTACCACATGGTGTCCCAGACGGGCCCCGTCCATGCTCCACTCTTCTCCATAGCCGTGGAGGTTAATGGACTGACCTTTGAAGGTACAGGACCAACAAAGAAGAAAGCTAAGATGAGGGCGGCGGAGCTGGCGCTCAAGTCCTTCATCCAGTTCCCTAACGCTCCTCAGGCCCACCTGGCCATGGGCAACATCTCCAACCCCTCAGCTGACTTCACATCTGACCAGGCTGACTTCCCAGAGACACTCTTTAAGGAGTTTGAGCCGTCACCATGTTCCGATGGCCTCTCGCTCTGCAGCTCCGCAAGTGAGAGCGAGTTCCTATCAAGTGAGTTGCTCAGACATGGAAGGCTGCTCAGGCACACGTTGGACCTCATGGTCCAGGCTCAGCAGAGGCTTGGAGGGATTGTTCCAGACCCCGAGGCCCCAAAAGGCCCGGTGGCACTGCTCAACGAGCTCCGGCCTGGCTTACGCTACGCCTGCCTGTCAGAGCGAGCCAAAGGACGGCGGCTACGTAGCTTTGTGATGGCGGTGCGTGTGGATGGACGCATATTTGAAGGCTGCGGTCGCAGTAAGAAGCTTGCCAAGAGCCAGGCAGCACAGTGTGCCCTTCAGGCCCTCTTCAACATCAGGACAGTGCCTGAGGGAAGAACTGGTCTGAAAACCAGCAGGAAGAGTTGCCCCCATTTACCCCAGGTGAGTGCAGACCCATGCCTAGCACCTGCCTTCTGCTAAGCTTCTTTGGCAGACACTCCACTCCCTACAGAGGCCTGTAATGACCAAAACAGAAGGCATGCAGGAAAAACCCAACAAGTGATTAAGCTAGAAAAGAGGTGGGAGCTAAAGATAGAGAATAGAAGGAGAAATAAAGGCAGCATCGATGAAAGTAGGAGTATTTAAACAGAGAGTTATCTGGTGTCACTATGTGCTCCAAGTAAAAATGTATTTCATAGATTAGTGAGCACTGTGACGGTTCTGCAGAGCCTCAGTAAACATCATCAGTTTGTTGGTCTGCTTAAACAGAAAAGCATGCAAATGAAGCTAATTACTATCCCGATGCCTCTGACACACAAGAAAGCTAAATAACAACACAAACGCTTAGTTTTTTTACAGCATTACGTGTTTGCAGAGCTGTAATTACAAAGGTTTTGTAATTTTGCAAAAATCTCCTCTTTTCTCATGTGTGGTGTGGCCGAGCCTACAAACATTAATTCAATCTGTTGCCCAAAGGAAATGGAAAATCAAAGAGCAAATCGACAAACAAACCACTGAGACGAATCCCATACTCATTTACCTAAATATTTAAATGGCAATCAGAGCGAGGAAACTGCTTTTTGAAAAAACGTGGGTAAATTGGAGAGCCTGAAGAAACAGCTTTCTGGATGGGCTCATCCGGGCGTCCGGCTTCATCTCAGCTGCACAGATTCATCCAAAGGAAATGAAGGGGTAGTAACACTCATTCTAGGTTTTATGTCTTGTTTCTTATTGCATTAAATGAATGTTAAATCGAAGCTGACCAGACTGGACGGCTGAGAGTCAAACCGTCCCCCCACTGTCCTTTTACACCCTGAGTAAACAGCCTCTCTCTGGAATCTGGAATTCAAATCTTAAGCTGTCCTCATCCGAAGCATCCTCGTCCTAAAGCCTTTTCCTTGAAGCTTTCTCTCCACACACCGTGCACCGTGTAGGATACGTGTTGTATTAACATTCTTTTTTGAGCCTTGAAGAAATAAACTGGCAAGAGTGCCCTTCCCCAGAGCAAAAACATCAACCCAACAAACCTGCACATGTTTGCCTGGGAGAAAACTTCTTCTCTTCCCCCTGCTGCCACGGTGCCTAAAAGGATTTTAAAAGGATTTGCTTCACCCGTTTAGTTCCAGAAAGCACTCGCTTGTGGAATTTCTTGAAAGTCAACCGTGCCGTCTGCCAGCCTGAAAAAAAAAGAAAAAAGAAAGAATGTTTTTTTATTGGTAAAGGACAAATATAATCCATATAACATCCAAGTACGCATGTGTGGATGAGTCCCGGCGTGGGCTGTGTAGAACGTGGGTCTCGCCAGGCGCTGATGGCGTGGATAGCGGTTGACTTCCCTGCAGATGTGATGCATAATGCGGGGTGGGTTGCCAGTGGGCCTGCAGTAGTGTGAACGCTGTGCTGTTGTGCCAACTGATGAATGCCAGCTCAGACCGTTCCCTCCAGCTCTACCTGTTGCAGGGTAAAGCTTAGTTGCAGAGGTGTTCAGCGCAGTGGAAATCCCCTCCGTGATAACAGGAACAGGTCGCTCTAAAATGTTCAGACAGATGTCAGGCTGTAGTGTTCAGTTCAGAGCAACGCAGTTATAGAGAAGGAGTTAGATCGTGTTAATGCGTGCTTGATTTTTGAAGAAACCTGCTGTATTTGGTTTTCTAGCTCAAACGTGTCCAGAAAACTAACAGAGTTGACATTTTGTTGGCATTTTAAATATTTGTCAGGATTTTTCTTGCATTAGCTTAATAATAATTTTCGTTCCACATCAAGAAAAAAAAGCTATGAAAATGTTGGTTATAGCATATTGTGGGGATAATGCTATTATTTAACTAAGGTATACGCTAAAAACATTTAGGTTTTTAGGAAAACATAATTTTAGGATTTTTTGTATGTTCCTGTTACACTCAGAGCATGATTTAATAATATATGGGGACTAAAATGCCTTTTACTAGTTGATTATTCTAGTCAAAAGGTTAAATAGCAGCAGTGAAAGCAGGGGAAATGAAGAGGTGGTTTGTAAATAGAGAGGTTGCTAGAATATTATAAAATATTTATCGCCATCACCACTGCTGCACATGCTCGAGTCCACCTGTAGCAGATAAAACCTAACGTCTCCTCCTGTGTTCTTACAGGATCACAGCAGAAATGAGGTTCTGGGCCTCGGCCTGCTTGGCATTAAGAGCTGTTTATCTTCAAACAAAGGTTTTCATTCTCTATTCCTTCATTTAACATTTTATCCAGGGAAATTAAACTAGTGTGTATTCTGCGGACACCCTGCCCTATGCATTCCCTCCTCTTCTTCACAGCTGAGAGATGTCCAGATCACCTCCACATCAGCATAAGCGTTAGGATGCTAACATAACCCAGAACCTCACTGGGATGCAGCTGCTGGTGACGGATTGGGAGGTTTTGAAAATGTCTCCAAGCATTAAACAAGGATTCTCTACTT